GTTTAAAAATTTAATCGAGTTCGAAAGTGGGATAAGCAACTTTTATAAATATTTTATAACGTTGTTGCAAAATGACAATAACGACCGCCGATTTAAATTCAGTCGCGCTACAAACTTTCTAATGACCTACAGGACCTGAATAATAAATAAGCCTTCATAACTAAAACCTTCTCAATTTAACGCGTCAACAAACTTAATATATAACCAACAAATTCAGTCAAAGTAGAACATCACATCAAGCGCAAACCCATAAATTAAATCTATCAAGGGTCACCAGCGTATTTACAATATTTTATGACAACTTATTCATCATCATCATCATATACGTCCCCACTGAGGGGCTCTCACTAGTCAGCATCGCTGGCCAAGTGTCGATTGATAAACTTCACACATATCTTTGAATTTCTACACAGATATATGCAGGTTGGATCATGATGTTTTCCGTCATCGTCGGATAAATGTAACACGGACACATGTAAATATAAAATCGAAAACACATTGGTACACGGCGGGATTCGAACTCAAGACCTGCAGATTACAAATCAAGTGTTTTGCCCTGAGCCACCGACGCTCTTTAACCGATAACTTATTGATATTAGTAAAACTTGCGATTTGGATTATAGAGGGATTATTTTTATCTTAGTTAATATAGATAAATTGTATTACAATACAGATCTGGCTTGAAATGTTAGGTTATCTTATCAAATACATTGCATTATATCGAGTTCAATATAAACTGTGTACTACATAACACGCATTGCAAATGTGTTAGTAAAAATGTCTAAAATATTTTTAATTTTTTGTATTTTCAGTGAAGTGTACACTCAAAATGAGTACCCTTTAAATATTTTACATTACAATGATTTTCATGCTAGGTAAGTATTTCAAATGTACCATAGAATAGGTTATTTTTTTGTACAAATGCAACAGAATCTCGTAGTGTAATTTTAACATGTGATATATTTTATAAAATTCCGATAGATTATTACACATACGGAACTTTACTGCGTTCTTAATTTAACGTAGATAGATGCAAAATAGTGTGTGAAAGAGGATAAAAAAATGTAAGTGAATTTAGACATCTCTGCATATCAAAGTCAAGATGATGAGGGATCTTAAAGGTGGCATATCTAATATTAATGTAATGAATATTTGTTACCCATAGGTTTGTAGAAACGAGTCCATCTGGAGGAGTTTGTAATCCAACAGTAGCACCATGCATTGGAGGCTTTGCTCGCTTAGCAACTGTTGTAAGAGAGGCAATGATAAGGGAACCAAACTCCTTGCTTCTTAACGGAGGTGATAGCTTCCAGGGAACGATTTGGTATAACTTATTAAGATGGAATGTCACCCAAGATTTTATGAATATGTTACCACATGATGCTCATGTAAGTAATGCGATAAATATTTACGCTGATAAAATCTGTACAATAATTCAATTAATTTTAGATTATCAGATCGGTATCTTCGGTACTATCATTCTGTGTACTCCTTAACACTGAACCTTGATGAATAATATCGATAACGTTGGATACAAAGACATTTTATTTATGATTTGGTGTTTCAGGGAAACCCAAAATTAGGGATAACAGAAAACCTGTCTCAATGTTTTCTTCTCACAATTGTTATTTATTGAACCTTACAGGTTTTAGGAAATCATGAATTCGACAACGGCATTGACGGTGTAGTGCCCTATTTAGAGCATTTAGATTCAAAAGTGGTAACAGCAAATATAATTGATGATTTAGAGCCCTCTATACAAGGCTTGTATCATCCTAGTATAGTTGTAGAACGAGACGGACGAAGGATAGGAATAATTGGTGTTATTATTTCTACAACCAATGTAAGTAAATAATTGTTAATTTACATTTATTGCGTTCAATTGTGGTGTCATGTTTCAACTTTCTTTAAGGAACTGGCGTCTACTGGACAATTGCAATTTACAGATGAAGTGGAAGCTGTAAAAGCAGAAGCAGAGAAGTTACATCGTGATGGAGTTAACATTATAATAGTCTTATCACATTGTGGACTTGATATTGACAGGTAACACATTGAAATATCTAACCTTACTCATTCTTTTGAATATTTGGTTTTAATGGAAATTTAGGACTAATCCCTTGGTCTGATAATTTACAAGGTAACTGAATGTGTTTTTGTTTGCCGTCCGTAATTATTTTTTATTAAAATTTATAGAGACATAGCACTTCATGGCGGACCACATATAGATATAGTAGTAGGTGGTCATAGCCACACTTTGCTATATAATGGCGTGCCACCAGAAAGTTCCGGATTTGTGGCCCAAGAACCATATCCTGTGGTAGTTGAACAACAGACAAGAAAGGTAAGGTTTAAACGTTCACATGGACACAATAAATCAAACAGATAAAGAAATATGAGCTATACTTATTCTCAAGTATTGAAAGGGTTGTTGTAGCTCGAGTCTTTAGATATTGGAAAGAAAACACGGTGCGGAACTTTAAAAAAAAATTGAAATAAATAAATGTTTAAACAAATTACGCTTTTAGGTTTTAATTGTCCAAGCTGCAGCACATACACAATATTTAGGAGAAATTAAGTTATTTTTCGATGACGATGGAAATTTATTGAGATGGGAAGGTAATCCCCATTTTATTGGAAACGAAATAGATCAAGGTAAATGTTCTAAAACTTAATTTAAAAGAGTTTCTTCAAAATTCAAAATAAAACAATTTGGTTGCAGCTCCTGATGTATTGGCAAAGATAAACACATACCTACCCGATATAACACAGAGAGCTACTAAACAGATAGGAACTTCTATGGTCCATATGTCTTCTAGATGTGCCTGCTCCGAATGTAATTTAGGAAGTTTTATATGTGACGCATTTATGGATGCGGTAAGTGTGATGTTATCTGTTCATTGAGCTATTAATAAATTAGTCGTTCAATATTTTTCTTTTTACAAGGTTCTAGACAAAGCAGAAGGAAATAATTGGCATTATGCCGATTTTTGTATAATTAACCAAGGCGGTATACGAGTAGATATGGAACCTGGATGTGAGTATCTAGATGACTTTATAAAACCACAATAATACATATATAGTACATATATTTAAACCCTAAAATGTTTTTTTGGCTCAAGTTGTAATCGCGTTTATTTTTTAAAGTTTATTATTATTTTTAGTATAACTTTTTTTAGTATACATAACAACACATGTATTTCAAAACATCCTGTACGCAGTGGGAAGTAAATCTAGTTTATTTTCAGTGATAACATTTGAGACGGTGCTATTATCGACGCCATTTGAGAACAACGTAGAGGTGTTCGATCTTAGAGGCGACCATATAATGGAAATGTTAGAATTTTCTGTAGCTAATGTACCTTATCCTGGTGCAAGAATGTTACAAGTATCTGGTAAGTAACTTTTCGGATGTGAAATTCAACAAATAAAGAAATAAAAAAAATGTAATAAACTGTACCACTACGATGGATGTGAGATATTAGCCATATTTTTGAGGATCCTATTGAATCCTTCTTTTAATACTCAATGTTATATATCAGGTATTCAAGCTACATTCAATGGTTCACGGCCTGTTAACGAGAGGGTATTAGACGTAAATGTTCGTTGTATAGATTGCGATGTGCCTCGATACAAACGATTAGAACTTGATAGATACTATAAAGTCGTATCCCAAAGCTTTATTGGCACTGGAGGTGATGGATTCTCAGTGAGTTTAAATCAATTATTTATTATAATTTATTGGAGCTACATGTACAAAAATTTAGTTAGGGAACTTATTATTATCCATCACCCTATGTAATTAATAATTACCATACATTGTCACGGTTACGATAAACAATAAGATTTCCTCTACTTTTCTTAGATGATATTCTTTCCAGGTATCCAAACAGTTTTTGATGGTTCAAGGCCACTTGGTTCTCGTGTTGTTAACGTGACTGTGAGATGCAAAGATTGTTCTGTTCCTCGATATGTACCCTTGATAAAAGATAAATATTATAAAGTTGTGTCCCAAAATTTTATTGGTAATGGAGGTGGGGGCTTTAATGTGAGTTATGTTTTCGTTATTGTTATTGAGAGTTTAATCGTAAACATCATTGCTCTTTTATAGACCTTGTTCTGATTTTCCGCTTTTATGATACTTTACTGGAATTTTTGATATCAAGCTTTAACGAGAGATAAAGTGTGATAATTTGTAAATTGTTTCGAATTACAATATTCTCGAAACTAGTTATGAAGGAATTTGTAGAAACCATAACACAATATAACATTTATTTATGTCATCAAAGTTATTTTTTTTTATTTTACATAAAATAAAGTACATGTAGCTGCCAATAACATTTTACTGTTAATTTTATTAAGAAAATAATAATTTATAATTGGAATCATGTTTGTTATAGATGATTTCGGAAAATAGAAGAAACGTGGAAGTTGTTGGTGTGGATTACGATGTACTAATGCGGTATATTGAGAAAGTCAGTCCAGTCTTCATAGATGTGGATAGACGGATACAAATTGAACAACCATGTGTAGTTTAAGATTAATAAATTAAAAAAAAAAAACAAAAAGTTTATTCCTCTGTAAATTTAATGTGAATAAAACTGGCACATTAAAAAGACATTTGAAGGAAGTTTAAGAATAAAAATTCTCAACTAAAACAAAAAATAGTTTTTCATTTTTTTGTTTTTTATTCTGAATGATAAAACAAAGTAGTTAAAGTACTTCAAATGGATCGTGACCTGTATTTACAAATACGTATTTTCATAATCAAGAAAAGAAATTAAGCATTCAAATTCAATTCAAGAATTAAAAAAATTTGAACAAATTAATTAAAACAAGGATTTCCTTAATTTGTTTTACTTAGGTATCTATAGGTAGAGCGTCGGTGGCTCAGGGGCCTAGCACTTGACTTGCAATCTGTAGGTCCTGGATTCGAATCCCGCCACGTACCAGTGTGTTTTTCGATTTACATATGTACATTTATCCGACGTTCTTACTGTGAAGGAAAACATCGTGATACAACCTGCACATATCTGAGAAGAAATTTAAAGATATGTGTTAAGTCAACTAACCCGCACTGGGCCAGCGTGGTTGTCTATGTCCTAGTCACTCTTGATTTAGGGTAGGCTCTGAGCCCCTCGGTGGTGACTTATAGTGAGATGATGATGATCTGTAGTTAACAGTTACTAAATTATGGTATTACAAAAGTTTGAACTGTTTTATTACTTAGCAATTCCTCAATTGAAGGCAAAGGAAAAAAAAATTGTGCTGTAAACGATAAAATACATCGTACAATTATAAATTTACTTTCTTTATATATTTTATGTTCCAACCTCAAGAATTTAAAAAGAACAATTTCTTTGATTTATTTCGTCGATAAATTTAACAAATGAGTTATTCGAAGCGTGTACACAACTTCTGAAGGACACTGTTGTTATTTTACGACAAATGTTGTCAACAAGGAAAGCGGGTCCGTAACAGTTCGACCATTAGGAATATTACTCCCTATTGTTTTGCTTTCTTCTTATATTTAGTTCGTAAATGACGCTCATTTTCCTTTCCTTCTACGTCCCTTTTATTTTGTTTAATGGTTTTTATTTTTACATCATTTGGTTGTCTGTCTTGTCGCCCGTGACTTCGTCTGTGTGAAATTAAAAAAAAAAACTTAATTAGTAGCCTTTCTGTTCTTCTCTACTATGTTTTACATCAATGTAAAATTTCAGCGATATCCATGCAGCCGTTTCGGAGATACCTTCAAACAAACATCCATCCATCCACCCATCCATCGATTCATCCAAACATTCGCATTTATAATATTAGTAATAAGTAAGACTACTAAATAAATAATATACAAAACTCGTAAAATATTCAAAATTAAAAAACGTTTTTGAAACAACAAGTAAACTAAAGTATAAATAGATAATTTCTACTTTGTACGCCATCATCAGCAAAATATATTTTGTTTGGTTCGTCAGGATTGTCGTGAAATTTGATTAGTTTCCACGATGTATCAAACGCTGAGGTTAGTTCGCAATTTTGGGCGCTGTTGCGGTCCTTTAAATTGGCTTCCTGCCAGGACGTAGTTTGAAATTTTAGTAGATTGCTTGTATATTGCTAATACATGAGAAAGTTGTAGTAACAAGCTATTTATGTGAATAAAAAGGTACTTGATGTTAAATTGATTCATGATAATGAAGGAAATAATTAAGAATAAATAACGGTCTTATTAAAAATGTTGTGTTTGAAAGGTTCGGTTTGAAAAAAAACGTGAATCCAGAAATGTATAAATGAAAGATTAACAGAGAAAAATGAAGTCTCGAAAATTCGATGAACGGTCTATGTGAATGTTGTACTTGAACGTATGAGGCTACAAATTTCGTGCTGTTAATGAACCCCTCATAAAATTATCCTACACCATGTAAGGACAATCTTAATTTTCTTTAATAATGAACTTACATCTAAATTTCTTTGGAACTACGCCAAATTGACTCGCAGCTATGTCTTCGAGTATCAAGTGTGCGATGCGATATTCCAGTATGGTTCTATTCTTAGTAAAAATATCTGAAGTTGCACTTAACTTTTTAAAAGCTTTTTCTTTAAGGATTTGATAATACGTTTACACCAATTTATTTAAACAGACTAATTTAGTAAATTATAGCTCCAGAAACTTGTCTGGCCTGGTGAGAATGACACACTATGATTTTTAATAACAACAATACTTTGTTCATTAAATTTCTAATCTTACTAATATTAAAAATGCGAATGTTTAGATGGATAGTTTGTTTGAAGATATCTCAAGTACTGCTGAACAGTTCTAGAACATAGTCTGGATGAACACATAGGCTGCTTATTACGTTTATTTTTATACCGCGCGGACGGAGTCACAGGCGAAAGCTACTATTCTCATATATACTGGGAGTTGCACGCGACTTCGCGATGAATAATAAAAAAATGTAATAAATGTAATCTATGTTACCCGGGGATAGTGTAGCTTGCCAATAGTGAAACAGTTTTCCTAACCAGTTCAGTAGTTTCGGAGATTATTAAAAGCAAACAAAAGATATCTACTATATAAAATAAAATCGTGTTAGTTACACTATTTATAACTCAAGAACGGCTTTACCGATATGGCTGATAATTAGTGAGGAGGTAGCTTAGAGCCAGGACACGGACATACGATACTATTTGTCCACTTTTTTTCGAATTTATGCCTTGAAGAGCTGCTTTATTTTTGCTTTATTTAACTTACTAATATTATAATGCGAATGTTTAGATGGATGTGGTGTGGATGGATGGATGGGTGTTGGAAGATATCTCTAGAACGGCTGAACGGATCTCGATTAAACTTGGCATACGTATAGAACATAGCTTGAAAGAACACTAATAAGGTTTTTATATATATCCACGCGGATGGAGTCGCGGCCGACAGCTAATTTATAATATTATAAAATTAATTATATTTTTTTAAGATACCGAAATCAAAATACAAATTATGAGTCGAGGTGTCATAATTACCTCTAGGAATTTCGCAGATAATTTGTAAGGTATTCAAAGCAGGAAGTAATTCGTGTTACGCAATGAACACGGACCGATTAAGCAGTCGAGACACGAAAAAACTTTGGTAGCAGCACAATGTGTTGTACGTGATTCGAATAAAATATATTTTATTTCGGAGATTCGGTACATTTATATAGATTTTTTTTACATTCAATGAGAAAGCCTGCAACGAATAACTGAAACCCATTTTGTAGCATAAAATCTGTTAATTAAAATTAACAGCGGTTAACTTTCTATCGATAGTAAAACGTTCATATTATTTGTCGGTAGAGTTCTTAATATACTTTAAAAATCTGGCTTAAAACATAGTATTTTCTAAGTAATATTATATAAAAAAAGTACTTGATCCAGCTTTAGCTATGCTAAATTTAAGACAATATGAAAAGTTTGATTAATGACTCTTATTTATAATTTATTACACATAGCTATCACCCGCGACTCCGTCCGCGTGGAGTTAAAATAAATACATAATTGGTAGACTATGTGTTCTTCCAGACTTTGTTCTATATGTCAAATTTCATCAAGATCCGGTTAGCCGTTCTTAAGATACTTTCTTTTAGACATTATTAATTACAATCCTCTTTCGTTACAAAGGCTAGTGTCAGAATGAATGTGAGGAGACACAAACGTCGACATTTTATTAAAGTCAGTGTTGAGTCAATACACTGGCTCATTTCCGGATTTTCTTCCTAACACTTCAAACAAACACCCATCCATACATCTAAACAATCGCATGTATAATATAAATACATTATTTTATAGATGTATGTTATTTTAATGCAATTTATCTGAAACTGTAGCACAAAAGAGAATATACGATGTAATTTGATGCACCGCTAAACGTGCTTTACGCTCTGACTAGAATAGGGCGGGATTGTAACAACCGTTCAATGAATATTTAAATAGTTGAATAACCCAAACTGGTTCTAACGTATAAATCAAATCATTGGTAGGTTTAGGTTAAGGTTTCCAGAGATATTTTTAAACTAGTCTATTTTTTAATTTTTGTTATTAATTTTACTTTTCAGTAGCGGCCTGCGAATTCAACTACGGCTGATGTACAGAGAAGTAACTCAATAAATTCTGTTCGTTTAAATTTAAAATAAATTACTTTGGTTAAAAAAAATAAAAAATGTCAATCAGAAGACTTAACTTTTACTATGTATGCCTAAAATAATTTGCAAATTAATACCACGAGTTTTTATCGGTGGTATACCTATAAAACACTCCGTAAATTTATTTCATGGATTACGAAAGTGGAAATATATATTTGTACATGTTTTTCAACAATGAAAACTCTTGGTTACAGTCAACGAGACATATGATTATAACACGTGAAATAGGTGAAGATACCATTACATTTCCGCGGGTGCCGGCTTGCCAACAAAGTTCACAAGCGAAACACGCGAAAAGTAATTAAACATTCCGAACACGTCAGAACTTTTCAACCAGCATAGCAGCTTCTTACAGCTGAATACATTAAGTATAAAATACTCTGCTTTTACAACTTATTTTGTAATATATATAATAGCTCTTATCTACATCCTACTTACGGTTGAACCCATTAATTGGTCGATTTTAGCTTCAGTAAGGTATTAAAAATGTGTTTTTCGATTTACGGTGCAGGAAAACATCGTGTTGCAACCTGCACATATCTGCGAAAAAATTCAAAGATATGTGTCAAGTCAACTCGCACTGGGCCAGCGTGGTTGACTATGGTCAAGTCACACTTAATTTGGGTAGGCTCCGAGCCTCTCAGTGGGGTCGTATAGTGAGATGATGATGATAAATGTATTAAATCCATCGCCCTTATTTAAAAATAACGATATACCAAATAACACGAATTCTTCAAGTACATTTGTGATTATACAATAATGTTCAAATCAAAGGTTTCAATAGGACTTTGTTTAGGGCAGCTGTAGTATTAAATTATTTAGGTCAGTTAAATATTCTACTTTGTAGTGTGATTCTTAATTTTTAAAATTCACAGCACGCTCGGCGTCTTTATTTTTGTTGGAAATTACCGGAATCTCAAAGGTTTTCTCGTAACCTAGTTCAAAGTGAAGGAGCATGCTGAATTAGAAGTCTATAAT